CCCAGGAGCGCAGTGTGGGCAGGCTTTGCCAGCACGCCAGAGGCTCGCTGCTCCGGGCTTACGCACCTCGTGCCGAGGGAGGGACCCTTGGATGCTGCAGCTGTGGCGCTTGCCAGACCTGGGCCTCGTTACCTGGTGCCTGTGGGTGGTTTCCTTATGGCACCAGGGCCTCCAGCCCCTTTCCTGCCTGGGGAATCTCTGCACGTGACTCCCTCTCAGGCACCACAACTCAGGTTATTTTCCTTTGTTCGCCACACCCCTGGAGCTCTGGCCCTTGCCAGACCTGGGCCTCGTTACCTGGTGCCTGTGGGTGGTTTCCTTATGGCACCAGGGCCTCCAGCCCCTTTCCTGCCTGGGGAATCTCTGCACGTGACTCCCTCTCAGGCACCACAACTCAGGTTATTTTCCTTTGTTCGCCACACCCCTGGATCGGGCCTGGTCCTTCCCTGCTGCGTCGGCACCTCCTTACCCGGGCTGGGGGGCGCCTGTCACTACACACTGCACCATGGACTCTATAGGCCCCCGCACTGCACCCCTTCTCTTAAAGGGGCATCGCCTGAAACATGCCAGAGCAGAGGGATGGGGATGCATCCTGCTCTTCTCCACCCCACGAGAAACCACCTCCCTGGTTCTACTCACCTTCCCCGTGCTGCTTAGAGGAGGTTAGCATGTGCTGCGGGCTAGGAGGGCTTTTCCTCAAGTGTCCCCAGGTTGGGAGCCAGCCTTGGCCCCAATGTCTAGGGGCAAGGCCAGATTTGTAGGGACAGTCTCTGGCCTGGACGGGGAGAAGCCCACGTATTGCCCCTCCCGTGCAAGCAGAGGTGAACCCTTTGCTCATGCGGCAGGGCCTCTGCTGACAGCCTTGCCTCTGGCAGGATTGGCATTACTGGACCAGTGTGAGGAGAGAGACAAGCTTTGGGGGCTACACTCCATGTAGTTGCTACTGGGCCATTGAGTGGGTGGGGCGAGGTACCCCACTGGGCCCCGTGCAAGATGTGCTAACTAGGCCCACTACACAATGGCTGCGTCTAGACTGGCAGGATTTTGCAGAAATGCTTTTAAGGGAAAAGTTTTTCCGTTAAAAGTATTTCCGCAAAACCATGTCTAGATTGGCACGGATGCTTTTGCGCAAAAGCATCCGTGGCCAGTCTAGATGCGGTTTTGCGCAAGAAAGCTAAAATGGCGATCGGGGCTATCGGGGCTTTTTTGCGCAAAACAATTCTTCCCTGTCTACACTGGCCCTCTTGAGCAAGTATTCCCGCGCAGGGGGGCTTTTTCCTGAGCAGGAGCGTGAAAGTATTTGCGCAAGAAGCCCTGATTTTGTACAGTACGTCCGTGTTCTTGCGCAAATTCAAGCAGCCAGTGTAGACAGCTGGCAAGTTTTTACACAAAAGCAGCTGGCTACGTCTAGACTGGCCCCTTCTCCGGAAGAGGCATGCTAATTTCTAACTTTGGAATAGGGAAATCCGCGGGGGATTTAAATAAACATGGCCGCCGCTTTTTTTCCAGCTTGGGGAAAGCGCGTCCAGACTGGCGCGATCCTCCGGAATAAAGCCCTTTCCGGAGGATCTCTTATTCCTACCTGGAGTAGGCTCAGGGACTCCCCGTGCATGGGGCAGCATCCCTCACTTTCCTGGACAACCGCCATTGATGGACCCATTCTCGCTCCTATTGGAACCCAGGGCGTTTCGGCCTCTCTCGTCCGCTGGCTGTGGCCACAGGGGGGCTGCGCTAGGCGGAAGCAGGGCTCCCTCTCTCCTGGCTCCCGGCTGCCAGCTGCTGCCTGGCCC